AGAAAGTTTCAGTGCCTAAGAGGAATGCGTAAAAGAAGTTCAGGATAGGGTGGTGAGACGAGCCCAGGAACAGATCATAAACAAAATGAAACAAGCATAAATAAAAGTCACAAAGGACTGATGGATGTCCCTGAAAGTCACAGGTAGCTGAAGGGTTTGAGGAACAGACTGGTATGGTCATAGTCACACTAGAAGTAAGATATTACAGCTGAGCTAGATTGGTCCCTACGCTTTTCCAGTCTTGGAATTAAGGTACTAAAGCCCAGTTCCTTTGGCTCTTCTGCCTTGGTACAGATCAAAGGTCAGCAAACTATGGCCTGCTTGGCCTCCCTCAGGTCAAATCTGGCCATGTTCATTCATTTATGTTCCAGTAGCTGCTGTTGCACTACACTGGCAGAGCCGAGGAACTGCAGTAGAAACTGTATGGCCCGCGAAGCTAAACATTTACCATCTTGCCCTTTACAGAAAGTCTGTGCCCCCTGGCATGGCCCTCCATGGATCACAGGCAGGTAACACTAATTTCCTCCTGTAGGGGATGTATGTTAATCATACAACATGTATTTATCAAGTATGTATTATATGTGAGGCACTACATGAGGGCCTGAGTATACAAAGATAAACAGGATACAGTAGTCCCATCCAGGAAGACAGACAGGTAAACAACTCTAAGACAACATATATGCACTGCAATAGATATGCTCAAGGAGCTAGCCTACAGGTCAGGACAGGTTCCTTCAAGGAGGCAGGTGGCACCTGGGCTGAACTGCAAGGAATAAGGAGTTAGCCAAGCAGACTTATGTTCTCAAAAGGTCACATCCTAAGTAGTCAGAAGAAAAGACTAGAGGTGAGACAGACTCACGGCAAGGAGACCAGTGGAGAGGCTGATGCAGTATTCCATAAAGGAAGTGATAAGGACCTCAACTAGGGTAGCAATTGTTGGGATGGTGCATTGGAAACAAACGGGAAAGCAATCTACATTAATGGTTCTGAATGGCAGGCAGTGGTTCCCAAACTTGGCTGCACATTAGAATCACCTGGGGAGCTTTGTAAACTCCTGCCACACAGGTCTCACCAAATACCAACTGAGTCAGTATCAGGATTTTGTAAAGATTACTGGGTGATTCCAAGGTGCAGCCAGGTATGGGAACTACTATGGCAGGAGGAATGCTGGAGGAGAGGGTTTGAGGAAGAGGAAAGGTTCAGTTTTGAACACGTTAGTTTAAGATACCTGTGTCTGGATAAACGTGGATGTCCAGAAGGCAGTGGAGTATGAAGTTCTGGAGCTTTGGGATAACTCATACTAACCATCACCTACTGGCCATTAACAACAAGTCAGAATGGCCAATGTCATGCGTCAGGCACTTGGAAAGTGCTTTTCGTGTATTAATTTAATTAACTCTCCCCATGACCCAGTGAGGTTGGTACTATTGTTATGCCCATTCTACAGATGAGTGTTTTACACACATTACCCAGATCCAACTCTCGCAACAATTCTATGAAACTGGTGGCTGTCATTATCCCTGTTTTGCAGATAAAGAAAGCAAAGCTCACAGATGTTAAGTAACATGTCCTAAGTCACACAAGTATCAGAGAAAGTATTTGAAGACAGACCTGTCTAACCTCAATGTCTGCTGCAGGTAAAGCCATAGGGGAGGTAAGGCTGGCCAGGAAGACATTCTGGGAAGAGGAGGAGGTGAAGGCAGAAACTTGGAGAATCCCAATATTTGATGCATAGGCAGAGGAGGAAGATTCCATAAAGGACGAGAGAGAGAGAGGGGAGGAATGCTAGACACAGCAAAAACAAAACAAATAAAACACCCTGTGAGAGTTCAGAGTTCTGAGGACAAAGATTAAGTAAGATAAGCACCAAGGAATAATCCACTGATGGAGCAATGAGGAGGTGGCTGGAGAGGTAGAACTGCAAACTACAGGATGGTTGCTTTCACTGGAGAAGGTAAATAAGGAATGATTGCAGCCTATTCTTTTAAGAGGTCTGACTATTAAAGGAAGGATACAAGAGCAGTTAACTACAGGAAGATGCAGGATTGAGAAGTTATTTTTCTTTCCTTTCTGAAAATGAGAGTAATTTAAGCACAGTTGTATCTTAAGGGAAAAAAGCCAGATGACAGGAATAGGTTGAAGACTCAGAAGAGAGACAAGATATTTGATAAGCAAGGTCTTTGAAGAAGCTGCAGCTCTGGATGGGAAGTGGACTTCTTTCCTTGATTACTCTGGAGAGTAATTTTTTGTAATTATTGCAGGGTAATAATTAGATGGAGTTGTTGCCTGATAGCTTTTATCACCACCATTGTCTGCTTGGTAGGAGAAGAGGACATAATTTATTTTTATTGTATTTTACAAAACCATTGGTCTGCAACAGGTTGGGAAAAAATTAACTGGTCCTACACCACAATTAGGTTGAGAAGCATTATACTCGACCATAAAAGCTCGAGCATGCCAGAAAAGGCAGGGCAGGGGGACTTCCCTGGTGGTCCAGTGGTTAAGACTCTGCACTCCCAATGCAGGGGGCCCGGGTTCGATCCCTGGTCAGGGAACTAGGTCCCACATGCCGCAACTAAAGATCCCACACGCAGCAACGAAGATCATGCGTGCCACAACTAAGACCCGTGCAGCCAAATAAATACACATTAAAGAAATAAAAAGGAAAGAAAAGGCAGGGCAGGAGTGCAGACAGGTTGCCTGTAAGCAGAGAGGGGTTGCCTGAGTAGATACTGGGACTTGGGATAAAAAGATAACAATGATGTGAACCAGATCTCAAGGATGTGAACCAGCAAGGTCTCAAGGAAGATGGGAGAAGGGCCAGAAACCCCGCAGAGGACAGCAAGGAGGAGAGCTGACAGTGGTTACTCATCCTGATCAAGTAGTAATAATTTGCTAGAAAGAATAGAAAATTAGGTCTCATTCCTACTGAGTAGATTCTTCATCTGCTTTTCCTAGAGAGAACACCCCACCCAGCCAAACGTGGGTCTGCATGAACTGGGTTAACCCTGGCTGAGATCATCAAACAGAATACAGAAATCCCTCCCCAAGTGCAAGTTTTCATCATGCAAAATTATAGCTATAGCACACGTACCTTTTCAGCAACTGTGCGCATATCAGTTCCAGTATATGTAAATTTGGGGTCACTCCTTTTGGGGATAAATTAGAAAAAAAGGGAACTGAGGTTTGGAATATAAAAAGGTATTAAAGCAAAGTAACAGGAATAGCAGTTTTTGCAATGAAACAGCAGAGACAAAGGAAGAGGAGGGAAAGTAAACTGAGGCTAGAGCTGTGCTCATATGTCTGTTAGAAGGACTCTGAGACATATGCTTAAGTGGCGAGTGCATAGTTTTCATGGGCAAAGCTAAAGTCCTATAATCCTGGGTATTAAGGAGGTGAGTTTGACAAGGAGAAACTGCTGTGCTCTGACGTTTAAATAAAGGTAGACCAAAGCTTTCACCGCCTCAAGCATTCAAGCCGCTGTGGATCTCTGAGATCACTGTAGGGTCCACCAGGGGGAGGCAGAAAGCCATTGACAATTTAGATAGAGAAATGGATTAATAGGGGGAAATGTCTCCTCATATGCACATTATCTGCCACAGAGAGCTTTCACAGGTTCACTTATGATCTTGGCTCCCCCAAACATATTTTTCACATAGGATCATACATATCTCAATTGAAAATCCTCCTACTAGAAAGTAAGGTGGAAAGCAACTTTCAGGGTTGGGGTGGAATTGAAACTGTGTTCTTGAGGGAGCTCCACAGTCATAATGGTAACTTAAAATACAACCTGTACAAAACATTGCGAAAGTTGTGATAATTTTGAGTTAACAATGACAAAGAGATCAAAAGATAGGAGTAAAGAAATATAGTCTTACCTTGGGTCATCATTCAACTAGAGTGGGAAAGAGCAGAAAACATTATTGATCACATTAAGTGTATTAGATGTACATGGATGCAGATAATATGAAAATTAGGTTATGTGTTCCTGTACACCGGCACGAAAGACTGGAGAATTCTTACTTCGGATTGCCAACAAGTAAGCTCTATTTCCTCATCCTCTTTCACCCCTCTGCAATATTTAACGCAGTGGAAACTTGGGATTCTTGGAAACCCTCACCTGTCTTGGGTTATTTGGAACCGAACCCTCAAAATGATTCCTAGAGGGAAGAGCGGAGGCGAGGCTAGGGGCCCTAATCGTGGTCAGCTGCTTCCTGATACACTGATGTCCTCATTATAAAAGATCGTCTTTCTGATCTGACTTGCAGTTTTGGTCAATGGGTTTATAACTCCAGATCTAAAGAAAAGCCACAGACTACAAGAAAAAGTGAGCCTTCCATCCCTCCCCCCCACTCCCCGAGGCTTAGGAGGATCGCTGGTGGCTTGCAGAAGGGTAGAGAAGCCTTAAGCGACGCGAGGAAACGGGGGCCAGGCGACAGGACCATCCAAAGGATACGTCCAAGGATCTGAGTCAGGAGTGCCTGTGGCCTCCGCAGCCCTGGGCGCTGGCAACACCCAACCAGGGGACACGGTGGGACTGCTCAGCAGGGTTCCGGCCGGGCTTACTGGATGACTTACCTCCCCTATGCACAGCCCCATCACCTCCTCCTTCTCTGTGCTCAGAGCGTGGTTGAGACAAACTAGGAAAGCATCCGACTCCAGATGAACCGCCTGCACCGCCTGCACCACCTGCACCGCCATCTTGATCTGGCCCTGCTCACGTCCGCCTCGGGCCCACTCGGGCCTGGCCAACCGGCTGCTCCGGCGCTTGGGTTCCGTGGGGGCGGGGCCTGGGGCGCGGGGCGTGGCGGGCGGGCGCGCGGGGGCGGAGCTTGGGACGCGGGGGCGGGGCCGGCCCGGCGGCACCTGGGAAACGCCCGCGCCGGTTGGGGCAGGCGTGGCCGTCGGGGCAGAGGGCGGTGGCCGGCCGCGGTCTGGACGTCGGGCCGGGCGCGGGGGGCGGCAGGGAGGCGGCGCTCTCGGGTCGCGGGCGGACGTGGTCTGTGAGGAGCGCCCGGACGGCCGGGCCGGCGCCTCCTGAGCGCCGGCGCCCATTTTGCCCGCCCGCCGAGAAGAGCCGTGCGCGGCCTACACGCTCCGGGGACCTCCCTCAGGCGGCATCGCCGCGCGCGCCGGCCTTTCGAGCCCAAGGGACGCTCTTTTGAAATTCGGTCCTGAGTTAAGGTTTTCTTTTATTTTGTTTTGTTTCCAAGTTAGGGGCCCTGAATTTGGGACCACTCTCTTTCCCTGGACCACTTCCGGTGGCCGGCCCGCGCCCCGTAACTTCGGTTCGGTGACCTCGGCCCGGAATGCCCCTCGGCTCGCCCCGGGCTCACGTCCCGATCCCGGCTTGAGTGGCCCGGGGTGGGTGACCTGAAGTTGTAGCCTCGCTGCTCTCGAGGCGGATAATTAGCCCAAGAAACACTATATTCATGTGAGTAACCTCTTGGCAGAAACAGTGTTATACTGTGTCTGAAAAAGTATCACTCCTAAGCTTGGCGGCTGCTACTTTCTCCAAAGGCTTTTAGGTATTTATTTGTTCGATACAGGGAAGGGGAAAGGGGAACTGAAGTTTCTGTTCGAGGTCGGATGTATCGCAGATCGCAGCAGATATGCACAAGTTTCCTCAGCTCGCCTTGTCTCGGTGATATCAGACCTGGTGAAATTATATGTAAAAGTAATTTTCTTTTGAGGTGTGATAAACGTGCAATAGGGGACAGTACACATCTCCCACTCCCGAGGCTAGGAATTACACGCGGATTCTGGGAACGATTCAAAACCAAAGAAAAATCTATGCCGTGCTGCCGCCACGGCCAGTCAGTGCCTCTGTGGGTTTGATCTGCTTCTCTGTTCCATGTGTAGTTGGGAGACAGGCGGACAGGGCAGTACTGGAAAGGGAACATGCCCAGGGTGCTGCTGGAGGAGGTGTTGATGCTTTGCTCTTTTCTCCCAAGTCAGTTCCAACCCCGATCTCCCCACAAATAGGGCCCACGTCCAGTGGAACTATCTGGAACATCCATGCCAGCAACCTCCATTTTTACCTAATGTTTAAGAATCATATTGCACATCCTTCCATGATTAATTTTGATAATGATGAAGCTGGGGCGAAATTTCATGTGTGCAATTACACTGGACCCATCTAATTTTTCTCTTAAGCTTCAATCTTACAGCATATATTGTTTTCAATGGCTATTCGCGGCTAGTATGCCCTGCGCTGATGGTGCAAGTATGGCTGTTGTTATTTTTATGTTTTGTGATGGGACGTCTTGCGTTTATAAGCACTTTTAGGCAGCTTCGAGAAGAAAAACACCTTTTGTCTATGGTCGGTGTTAGTCAATCTCATATCCCACAATGATATTCTCTACCTTTTATAATGCTCATGGCTGCATTTTACAGCTCTAAAGTTTAATTGGAGTAGAAAAAAAACTATTAACATTTATGGCAAGCTTATCATGTGCTAGACACTCTACTAAGCATTTGTATACCTTGTATGTGTAAACTGCCCCAATTGGAATCAGCCTCTGCAACTTCCTAGCTGTGTTACCTCATGCAAGTTAGCTAACTTCTCTGTGCCTTACTTCCCTCATCTTTAAGTGGGGGTAATAATAGTATCCATCTAATGGGTGACTGTGAAGATTAAAAGAGTCAATATATAAACATGTAGGAAGTGCTAGGTAAGTGCTGACAGTTATAATTAATTTGTTCTTTAATTCTCATTTGACATCTTAGAAAACTGGAGTGTAGAGAGTGTAACTTATCCGAGGTCACAGAGCTAGTAAGTGGCAAAATCAGCATTCATACACAGGCCGGGCTGACTCCAGGGCTTGGTAACTTCACCCATTGTAAGTAGATGAGTTTATTAATTGACTTCAAATAAAGTAAGTGTATTCAACTGATTCATGTTTAAAAACTGTTCAAACACCTGGAAATTAAACCAAATTATACTTCTTTTAAAAGACACAAAATGATTCATTCTGTAAATGAAAAATAATGGTTTTACTTGCATTACCTACCTAAGCAAGCCCTTCTGTGTGGTCTATCCTACTTAAGACATAGTTCACAAACTGCCTTATTAAGAAATATTCTGTCTAGGCCAGTGTGGTCCCTGGCCGTGGCATCAAGGTAACCCCCACGGGGACAATCTTTTTAGTGCATTCATGGGTAATAAAGGTATATAAATACTTCTTTTTTTTTGGCCGTGCCGTGCGGCATGCAGGATCTTAGTTCCCCGACCAGGGATCGAACCTGTGCCCCCTGCATTGGGACCACGGAGTCCTAACCACTGGACCACCAGGGAATTCCCTATAAACACTTTTTTGAATCCATTTGAATTTGCAGCTGGTAGTATTCCTTCAGTTGAGTGGAACAGGTTTATGTTCTGTGTTTTGTATTGCACATTGTACCTAAGTTTATCTCGAGGTTTTCAGAGATTCATCTTGGTTCAAGGGGTCCTGAATTTTGTGCACAACTGTCATATGGAGGAGAATGTTCTCTAGTCAAATAAATTTGGGGAATGTTAAAATAAAGTTTCTTTACTGCATAACTTGCCAGAGGTTTTACTGTACTTATGTTCTTTATGATTCTACAAGATTCCCAAACTTATTTGACCAAGGAAAAAGTTAGGGGCAAGTGTTCCAAGGATCACTTTTAGGGAAACTGTATTCCATTCATACAACCTGCGATTTTGTGGCTTTGATCTTAATCCCTCTCACTGAGCCTTGGCTTTTCTCTGCTGAGGCTCTTGATTCGTGCTCACAGGGCAGCTTCTCAGTCCCTTGATCACTGCAGTTGCCTTTCGCTGGGCCTTCATGCTGTCTCTGGTAGCGCATGCAAGTCCAGGGTTGTGTGCTGGCGTTTGTCCCAGGTTCATCCTGCTGATGCCCAGCATGTTGTCCTTCAGGTCACAGCAGCACACCACGCTGCCTTTCTTCTGAGAATATTTTGTAGTGACTCATAGGCCTCTTTGTAGTGATTCTTACTAACTCAGAGCATCCAATTTGTTTGCCCTCTATGCCAGTGGAATTATTTCCTTTTAATGTCGATGTAACCAGTAAAATTTTGCTTTTCATTGAAAACAGATTTAAATGTCAATGTGTCAACGTATTAGTTGTTGCTAGGACCTATCTGTGAAGTTGAGATGGTCCTAAAACCTTTAACATTTGGTTTCTACTTTGAGGGGGGGCACGTGTTTCTTTTGTACTCAAAATTCAGACTTTAATATATTTTATTTTGACATTAGTATTTACTGGGTTTTGTTTTTATCTCTCCTTTCCAAAATCTTGGGGAGGAAGAGAGGCAGAACAATTGTATCTGCTAAATGGAAAAAAATGGCTTTGAACAAAATAATGTATAGCTATATAACAGACCCAGAGGGTCACTCCCTACCCATGCTCATGTGGCCTTTGCCTCCCCTCTCTACTCAGCATACGTATCCATCCACTCACAGGAACACTGTTTGACTAGTATTTGAGGCTTAGGGTGTCCAGTGCTGTATTATTCCTTCTGTTGAGGTGCTTATAACACTGTACTGGGGTGGGGGGGGCGCGGACAGGACTTGTGAAATAAGCAGAGCAAAATGTGAAGCAATTTATAATTAGCAGTCAAATCTGAGTTTTAGTTTAGACATAAATGCTACAGTATTCATAAGAGGCAGGACGTTTTCATCAAGAAGGCAGGCACCTGCCCTCTGTGGTAATAGTACTGAGATAGGCAGAGAGGCCCGGGGAGGAACATTAGGCGAGTGGAAAGCGAGAGCAAGGATACGGCGCTAGACATGATGAACCTGGTATCGGGGGAAAGTTGGTCTCAAGTACAGTGGTAGTGGTGCTTGCTGGAAATGGTGACAGGTGGGATGCACCAACTGAAGAAGAGGAAGAAGTCCACGATAACTCACAAGTTTTGAGTCCGCAGGATCAGGAGAGGCTGTGTTGCCACTGCGAGAAATCAGGATTTGGTTTAGGAGAAGGTGTTCTGCTTTAGGTGAGTTTGAAATGAGAGAGCGCTGTAAGACAAAAGCTACGATGGGCTCAGAGTCAGGTCCACTCAGGGTGCAATGGGCGAGGCAAGTGTGATGCTCATAAATTATTCACTACAATCAGACCATTTCCTAAGTCTATAGAAGATATTTTCCACTTACCTTTTAGGGAAGGTAAACCAGCAATGTTAAAGAAAAACAACAACAAATCAGACTCAGATTGTTGTTCTTGAAAAGGAGGCTTGGTTCAGCTCAATTAGTTCTTCTTTCTGGCATCATCCTGTGTTCTGGCATCTCGTTTCCTCTTGACAATCTCATTTGAGGGTTTAACAACCTCCCAAGTTGTGCTGCAGTCCCTCTCTTACCTAAAGGCCGCCTAACGGGAATAGGAGGCCTCTGTTTTTTGGAGCAGATCCCCCAATGCCGTGTCTGCACTCTGCCCAACATAGACACCCAGTGAAAGCACGCTGCGACGCTGTAAGCTGGCTCCAAAAGGTTCATTCCTGTAAAATGCAGCTCAAGTTGTGAGGCCCTGAATGAGACCCAGACCTGGGCAGAGGATCCTTATGGGGTCGGAGCTGAGTCTGCGTTATGGAAAGAGTTTGCCCAGAGGTGTGCTTCCTTTACACCTCCCAAAGGGCAGATGGGCTTTTCTGACCTTCTGACTTGGGAAAACAGAATTTAAACCCACGCGTCTATGAAAAAATGGGCTCCTGTGACATCCTGAAGCATTATTAAAGTGAAACAAGGACCCTGTCTCTCAGCTCTGAATCATCACGATCCCCAGGGTCTGTTGCAACGATGCGACCATAAGTATTTTCCCTAAAATGAAAACTCCCTTCTGGAAATGCCTAGCCATTATAAGTAGCCTTTCTAAGCAAACTGATAAATAGGTCGTTTGCCCTTAAAACAAACTTCTAATTTCAATTTAGAAAGCCATGCACATTACATGATTTGACCTTCACAGTCTTACCTTTTAAAATGGAAACTGCTTGGAAGGGGCTTTTACCTGGAGAATATGGCATGCATGTGTCTGTTATACTGCTTTCCTGCCCAAATAAGTGTGCCCTTATGCGCACTCCTGTGCATATTCCGTTGCTCACTGCATTTTGTCAGATGCTGCTTGCTGAATGCAAAGACTGTGAGACCACTGCCCGGCTTCCTGTAGCGCTAGGCCCACATTTCCACGGAACCCCTCACCTAGCAGAATTCTTGAGTGCTTCGCAGTCAGCAGCATCACCCAGGGTTCTGCCTGAGTGTCACTTCAGTGTCTGCCAGGGAGCTTCAGACATCCTCAGTTCTGTTTAGGCTGTGCAGATAGACATAGGTGAGGTTTGCTTCTAGTTGGTGGTTGCTAGTACCAGGTCACCTTGCTCATTGGTGAGTTCATTCCAACCCCAAAAGTCACACCTGTGTCCTGTGCGCGGGTGCTGCAGGCTTAGGTGGAGAAAAGCAGGGCTAGAATTGGAATCCAAAGCCCAGGATGGCAGGAGAGGATGTGGGGGCTCCACCCGATCACCTCTGGGTTCACCAAGAGGGTATCTACCGCGACGAACACCAGCGCACGTGGGTGGCCGTCCTGGAAGAGGTAACTGTTTACATTTTGTTTATTTCTTTCTTGATTTTTGCTTTCAAGCAACTTGGTTTCTAACCAGTCTCAATATCCTGAAGTCTTTGGTTTTATTTTTGATCGTTTCTTTCCATTAGGAGACGAGTTTCCTAAGGGCACGAGTTCAGCAAGTTCAGGTTCCTTTAGGTGACGCAGCCAGGCCAAGTCACCTTCTCACCTCCCAGCTACCTCTCATGTGGCAACTCTACCCCGAGGAGCGCTACATGGATAACAACTCTCGCTTGTGGCAGATCCAGCATCATTTAATGGTACACATGTTGCTTAATAATTTTTCATTGTACTGGGACTCTTATAACAGAGTACTCTATAAACTTTTCTTTTTCTGACAGGTCAGGGGAGTACAGGAGCTGTTGCTTAAGCTTTTGCCTGATGATTAATCTGGTATGTATTTCTTTTTCTCCCCTGTCCCCACCCACCTTCTTCTTTTTCACCCTATTCGATTGTGGTGATTTTAATGATCTTTTTTTTCCAGGTGCTGGGATTCTAGGAAGATATGCCCCTCTGTTCTGTTCAGTATATGGCAATCACGTCATCCACCACTGCAGTGCACCCACCTGTGGGCCTGTGGGGAGGGAGTGGGTTGAAAAACTGCTCAAGAACACAGAAGTTTAGGAAGGGTCATGAAGAACACCGAAAGTGGAACTGCAGAGAAAGGGTTATGCAGGCAGAAAGCAAGTCAACAAAAGCACTTAGTTAGGATACGTAACTTGAAATTGACTCCTTTGGAAATTGCCATAGAACCGTTAATGGACATCATCAGCTGGAACTGGGATCTGATGAATCCCACAAAAGTCAGCACCTGCTACAGAACAGATGCCCTGATCACCAAGGACTTGGTACTGATTTAGAGAGAAGAGAGCAGCTCCTAGCAGCATCAACATCTATTTGTCGCTTATTTGCCCTGCAGCAATTCACCTGCCTTTCCTTCTCCCATCCTGTAAATATCCTAGGTTTTGCTCCAGTGTTTCCCATCCCAGTACTGACCTAACTTGGATCTACTAAGAACTTAGGGGGCTCTGAGGAAAAAAAAAAAAAAAGGGGAGATCATTTGCATTAATGAAATTAGCTACAAAGGCTCCTGGGCCTTTTTCCTTTCTGAAATTGTGTCTTCAAATTTTTAGAAGTTGCTGATCAGAATCGTGGGCACTTAAATTTATTCTCTGGTTACAAATATTTTAAATAAGTTGGTTTCTGTAAGAACTCCAAAAAACGTTTTAGCTGCTTACCTAGCACCTTTCTCAGGAAGTAATAATAGCACCAAATATTGCTGATTCACTACCTGATAAAGATTATTTCCTGAGTTAAAATACTCATAGCAGTTTGTATACATTAAAAGAAGGGTTTTACTTTTTTAAAAATCTTGGGAATAATAGCTATCATGTGTTGAGTCCTTACTGCCTTCCAGGCACTGTTCTATGCACTTTATATACTGTATCACGTTTAATCCTTCCATCAATGCTTTCAGGTAGGTATGATCTCTATTTTACACACAAGTAATAAGGAAAAAGGCTCAAGGAGTTAAATCATTTATCAAGAGTGGTTCTCTGAGTGACAGAGCCGGGCAGTGGGCCGACTTGTCAGGCTGCAGCGCCGGCTCCTCTAGCCCAACGTTGGTTTACAATAGTCAAGATGAGTTGAAGTCAAGGGGTCTTTTTCCCTATGTAAAGCTATTTATATCTTCCAAGCCAAATGGAATATTATAAAAATACAGTTAATTCATCCTATGAGCAGGAAGAATATTTTTTAGTGTAATTGTTTTCCAGCAATTGTAAGAGCATACTGCTTGTCTCAGAAGAAAATTCCATCGAGGGGCTTTAAAGTCTTTATGTATAAAAGACAAAATAAAAATCATTTTTCTTATTTTAGTTTTCTGGATATGCCGCAGAAGGATCCGTGCCAGAAACAAGCCTGTGAAATACAGAAATGTTTACAAGGTAGTATGTTAAATGCTTTTCTATATTTTTCAACTTTATCTGTGAACTAACCAGAGAACAATTTTTCTTTTTATCAGCAGACTATATTAACTCCTCTCAGAATGTAATATTTCTGTAATTAACTTATCCTAAAGATTTTCCTCACTGTGTCATCAAGGATGGCAGAAAATAAAAAGTGGTATGACCTAAGCTTGGGGTTTACAATCCTGGTTGTACATTCAGAATCACCTGGAGGGCTTCAAACACTTGCCTAGCACAGTTAAATCAGACTCTGGGGGTGGGGTCTGGGCAGGAATCAGTCTAAAAAGCTAACCAGGTGATTTTAATGTGCAGCCAGAGTTGAGAATTACTAAGCTGAGCAAAGTCCTTTTTAAAAAAGACTAGTTTTAAGTGGGTTGGTTAGACTGCAGTGTGGCTGACAACTCACTTTTTAAAAGCAGTCAGGTTAGAAGGGATGGGGGTGAAAATACATTTGGAATTCAGGCAACTAACTCTTGAAGGCAAAAATAAATCAGCTAAAGCGTATTTGATGTAAGTGATTTGTCCATTTTGTTTTAAATAAGCCGATAAATTTGACCATATGCTAGAGGATTTTACTTTTTTTTTTTTTTTTTTGCGGTACGCGGGCCTGTCACTGTTGTGGCCTCTCCCGTTGCGGAGCACAGGCTCCGGACGCGCAGGCTCAGTAGCCATGGCTCACGAGCCTAGCCGCTCCGCGGCATGTGGGACCTTCCCAGACTGGGGCACGAACCCATGTCCCCTGCATCGGCAGGCGGACTCTCAACCACTGCGCCACCACGGAAGCCCCGATTTTACTTTTTTAAATCAGCAAATGATTACTAGCAGAACAAACAGAAAAGGCTACAGGGCTATCTGAATTTGAAAGCTGACTTTTTGGATAATTTTTTCCCATTACTAAAGTAATAGATAGAGATGGATGCCCATGAAAATATAGAAAGGGAGGATGGAAAAATGTTCAGAGTTCACCCAAAGACTCACCACCAAAGAAAACCCTTGTTTGTATATTTCCTTTGACTTTTAACTTTCATTCTTGGACTTTTCATTTTATGGTGTAAGCAATCTTTTTAAATCTTTTAATCTGAAATGTTAATGTAGAATAATAATGCCATTTTATTCATCCTTTTCTTCCCTTCCTCCAAATTTAAGAAAAAGGAAGGGGAATTCCCTGGAGGTCCAGGGGTTAGGACTCAGCACTTTCACTGCCGTGGGCCCGGGTTCAAGCCCTGGTCAGGGAACTAAGATCCCGCAAGCCTCGAAGCGTGGCACCCCCGCCAAAAAGAAAAGAATGTTCTTCCCAATTTCTTCTCCCAAATAAATTCTTACCTGATTCTATCTGATTCTTACCTGATTTGAATTAGCAACATACAGCTAAAGGAGAACACAAATCAAGTTAGAACTGGATACACCCCCCTCACTACAATGTGGGTGGATTGAGAGCTAGAAGGGCTACGAGTGAGCGTTAAGTACTCCCTGGATGACAAGCTCAGTTGTAAGGGCTTTAAATAATATTAAGCTTTAATCCTTTCACCCATGAGGTAGATACTACTGTGACCCATTTTTATAGATAGGGAAATCAACACAGAAGCTATGTAACTTGTCTAGGGTCACAGAACTATTAAGGGGCACAGTGATGGTTTGAACCCATTTGGTCTGGGTCCAAACCTGGACTTAGCCACCCAACCATACTCTCTTTCTAATCAGAATTGTCTTTCCTATCCCAGGCTAACTCCCATGCACCCCATTTTAGTACTGGGGGACTCATCACCTGCAGTTGACCTAGGACCTTTAGGTCAAGTCCTCGTTGACTTAGGGTCTATGTATAGCAGGGATCTGCAAATGTTTTATGTAAAGGACCAAACAGGAAATATTTTAGGATTTGGAAGTCAGGAGGTCTTTGGTGTGTGTGTGTGTGTGTGTTTCCAACCTTTTGCAAAACCCATTCTTAGCTGTAAAAAAGAGTGGAATTCAACCCTGAGGCTGCAGTTTGCCAACCCCTAATGCGCAGACTTGGTAGGGAAGGTCCAGCAACCACCTTAAACTGAGTGCAAAATAATGTGCATGGTTCCTGCATTTCTCTAATTCACCAAATTAACAAAAGGGGCTAGTGACCAAACACACACACACACACACACACACACACACACACACACACACACAAAAGGTTAAAAACCACTGCCCTGGAAAAAGACATGTAAGGAATCAGCGTTAAAGAAAAGGAAATTATATGTAAAAATACCTTTCGACCACTTTGTACATCATACTTCCTTATTAACCTGTTGATGGGTCTCTAAATGAGAAAGAATTCAGTGGACTTGGGTACATCCTCTTTCCTCCAGGTCTGTAGATACAATAAAGTGAAAAGGACTGGGAAGCTCAGATCTAAACCTCCCTGTGCCCTAGTCCTATGAGATCATGACCAGGGTCTGTCTATCTGTCTTTCAGCCAACAACTACATGGAATCTAAGTGTCAGGCTGTCATCCAAGAACTGCGTAAGTGTTGTGCTCGATATCCCAAGGGAAGATCTCTCGTCTGTTCAGGATTTGAGAAAGAAGAGGAAGAGAAGCTGACGCTGAAGCCCACATGACAGTAAAGTTCTGCTGAGAAGCAAACTGCTGCCCCACATTGCCACCACGCGGGTTTTATCTATCCTCCTGACTCTTTCTTCAGGCCAGGTAGCAGCAAATATCAAATGAAAAAGTCAACTATAAAAGTTAATATGCCATCTATGCAGAACAAATATAAATATATTAAACAAATAAGTAGAATGTGATAAAACTGAGCTGCTAAAATAAACCTTTTAAGTGAAACTTTTTGGTTTGGTATATGTGATATGTTGACTTATTGTTACCGAAGTCAGATTTGGCTGCTTGCCACTCAAAAGCCAATAATGGAGAGGCAAGTGTCAGTGGAAAAGGTGCTTTAATCAGAAAACCTGGCAATCTGGGGAGAAGGTGGGTTTGTGTCCAGAGACCAACCCCAAAGATTCTGCTCAGCCATGACAGTTTTTTTGGTTTTATTAAAAAATTTATTTATTTTTGGCTGCGTTGCGGCGAGCGGGGGCTACTCCTCATTGCGGTGCGCGGGCTTCTCATTGCGGTGGCTTCTCTTGTTGCGGAGCACGGGCTCTAGGCACGGGGGCTCAGGAGTTGCGGCATGTGGGCTCAGTAGTTGGTGGCTTGCGGGCTCTATAGCACAGGCTCAGCAGTTGTGGCACATGGGCTTAGTTGCTCCGTGGCATGTGGGATCTTCCCTGACCGGGGCTCAAACCTGTGTCCCCTGCATTGGCAGGCAGATTCTTAACCACTGCCCCACCAGGGAAGCCCCACCATGACAGTTTTTAAAGGGAAAAAGGGGGTAAGAATCTCAGTGAATCTGAATCATCAAGGAAGGAGGTTGGATGCTGCATCATTCTCCTTTGCATGCAGACTGGCTGACTTTCTTCAGATGTTTTCTTGCCCATGTGATCTGCGTGCAGGATTGCTTAGGGGGGCTATTGGGGGTAGAGAGCTAACTACTTCTATCTAGGAAAAGAATCAACAGGTTAAACAAGGCATGGTGTGCATTCAGGAGAGTATAAGTCAGGAGTTAGGTTAAACTGCCTGGTGATCTCATTCCTATAACTAGGTTCTTTTAAGGTTACAGGGGAACAGAAATGGGCAAACAGGAAAGGGGTAAAAGAGCTGCTTTCATTATAACAAAATATATATTTGGTTTTTGTCTCCATTCCTGGCACTGTGGTCCTAAAACCCTTGGAATTTCCTAAGTGATAAGTGCAATAAAGGTGGCTTCTGTTATGTTAATGAGACGTTTGAAAGTCCCTAGGTAACCTTAGGATGGGGGCTGGTTGCCAGGGGAACGGCCTTGCAGGGTTAGAGGGTTAGAACTTTCAGTTCCCACCCCCACCATGACCCCCGGGGAGGGGAGAGGGGCAAGAGGCTGGAGAATATTGGAGTTCAATCACCAACGGCCAGTGATTTAATCAATTGTGACTTGTCAAACGATCACAGAAAAATAACAGAAAGCCAAAGAATCATCAAAGTAGTAATTAGTGAAAGTTTATTGTGCACACACCAAAAAGACAGTTTGTGAACACAGAGCACTCAGACCAACACGTGGAATGAGGGGGGGGCACTGTTATAAAGCAGCTTACACAGCATGAGGGCAGTGACTGCTTATTCTTCACAGTGATTGGTTATAATATTAGAATTTTCTTAAATGGTCGAGAATTGGTCAGTGGTTAACCTCATATCAGCCTTAGGAAACAGTTTAGCTTATGCTTTCCAGAAGCATAAGCGAGAAATGACCCAGGTCAGGTTAGTCTCCTAAAATAAGCTAAATTAAGGCTTGCTTGCGTGATTAAACTGGTTTTGTCTGTTCATGGAGTTTTCAAGGCTGGTCTCAGTTTTTTATTTTTTTAAATTTTATTGGAGTATAGTTCATTTACAATGTTAATTACTGCTGTACAGCAAAGTGATTCAGTTACACATGTATATATTCTTTTTCATATTCTTTTCATTATGGTTTATCACAGGATATTGAATATAGTTCCCTGTGCTATACAGTAGGTAGGGCCTTGTTGTTTATCCATTCTATATATAATAGTTTGCATCTACTAATCCCAAACTCCCAATCCTTCCTTCCCCCACTTCTCCCCCTTGGCAACCACAAGTCTGTTCTCTATGTCTGTGAGTCTGTTTCTGTTTCGTAGATATGTTCATTTGTGTCCTATTTTAGATTCCACATATAAGTGACATCATATGGTATTTGTCTTTCTCTTTCTGACTTACTGCACTTAGTATGATAATCTCTAGGTCCATCAATGTTGCTGCAAATGACAAAATTTCCTTCTTTTATATGGCTGAGTAGTATTCTGTTACATATATGTACCACATCTTCTTTATCCATTCATCTGTCAGTGGACATTTAGGTTGCTTCCATGTCTTGGCTATTGTAAACAGTGCTGCTGGGAACATAGGGGTGCATGTATCTTTTTGAATTAGAGTTTTCTCCGGATATATGCCCAGGCATGGGATTGCTGGATCATATGGTAGCTCTACTTTTAGTTTTTTTGAGGAACCTCCATACTGGCTGCACCAATTTACATTCCCACCAACAGTGTAGGAGGGTTCCCTTTTCTCCACACCCCCTCCAGCATTTGTTATTTGTAGCCTTTTTTTTTTTTTTGGCTGCACTTTGCGGCTTGCAGGGTGTTAGTTCCCCATCCAGGGATCAAACCTATGCCCTCGGCAGTGAAAGCTCGGAGTCCTAACCACTGGACCGCCGGGGATTTCCCTGTTATTTGTAGACTTTTTAATGATGGTCATTCTGACCAGTGTGAGCTGGTACCTCATTGTAGTTTTGATTTGCATTTTTCTAATAATTAGCGGTGTTGAGCATCTTTTCATGTGCCTATTGGCCATTTATGTCTTCTTTGGAGAAATGTCTATTTAGATCTTCTGTCCATTTTTCGATTGGGTTCATTTTTTTTGTTATTGGGTTGCATGAGCTGTTTGTATATTTTGGAAATTAAGCCCTTGTCAGTCGCATCATTTGCAAATATTTTTCTCAGTCCAAAGGTTGTATTTCATTTTGTTTATGGTTTCCTTTGCTGTACAAAAGCTTATAAGTTTGATTAGGTCCCATTTGTTTATTTTTGCTTTTATTTCTATTGCCTTGGGAGACTAACCTAAGAAAACATTGGTACAATTTATGTCAGAATGTTTTGCCTATGATCTCTTCTAGGAGTTTTATGGTATCATGTCTTATGTTTAAGTCTTTAGGCCATTTTGAGTTTATTTTTGTGTATGGTGTGAAGGTGTGTTCTAACTTCATTCATTTACATGCAGCTGTCCAGCTTTCCCAAAACCACTTGCTGAAGAGACTGTCTTTTTCCCATTGTATATTCTTGCCTCCTTTGTCAAAGATTAATTGACTGTAGGTATGTTTGTTCATTTATGGGGTCTCTGTTCTGTTCCATTGATCCATATGTCTGTTTTGTGCCAATACCACACTGTTTTGATTACTGTAGCTTTGTAGTATTGTCTGAAGTCTGGAGGGTTATGCCTCCTGCTTTGTTCTTTTTCCTCAGGATTGCTTTGACAATTCTGGGTCTTTTGTGCTTCCGTATAAATTTTAGGATTATTTGTTCTAGTTCTGTGAAAAATGTAATGGGCAATTTGATAGGGATCACGTTAAATCTATAGATTGCTTCTGGTAGTATGGCCACTTTAACAATATTAATTCTTCCCATCCAAGAGTATGGGATATCTTTCCATTTCTTTGAATCATCTTCAATTTCCTTTATTAATGTTTTGTAGTTCTCAGCATATGTCTTTCACCTCCTTGGTCAGGTTTATTCCTAAGTATTGTTTTTTGATGTAATTTTAAAATGGATTGTTTGTTTACATTCCCTTTCTGATATTTCATTGTTAGTGTTAAGAAATGCAGTCAATTTCTTTTTTTTTCCCGCTCCCTCCTCCACCCCTCTGCCCCTGCAACCAATTTCTGTATGTTAATCTTGTATCCTGCTACCTTGCTGAATTCATTGATTAGTTCTAGTAGTTTTTGTGTGGGGTCTTTAGGGTTTTCTATATATGGTATCACGTCATCTGCATCTAATGACAGTTTTACCTCTTCCCTACCAATTTGAATAACTTCTATTTATTTTTTTCTTGTCTGGTTGCTGTGGCTAGGACTTCCAATACTATGTTGAAGAGAAGTAAGAGTGGGCTTCCTTGTCTTGTTCCAGATTTTAATGGGAAGGCTTTCAGCTTTTCACCGTTGAGTATTGGATTGGCTGTGTGTGGGTTTGTCATAAATAGCTTTTCTTATGTTGAGATATGTTCCCTCTATACCCACTTTGGTAAGAGTTTTAATCATGAATGGATGTAGAATTTTATTGCATGTTTTTTTCTGCATCTATTGAGATGATTATGGGGTTTTTTTCTTTTGTTGATGTGGTGTATCACATTGATTGATTTGCACATATCAGACCATCCTTGTGACTGTGGGATGAATCCAACTCGGTCGTGGTGTATGCTCTTTGCTATGTGTTGTTGGATTCAGTTTGCTAATATTCTGTTGAGAATTTTTGCATCTATATTCATCAAAGATATTGGCCTGTAATTTTCTTTTTTGGTAGTGTCTTTGTCTAGTTTCAGTATCAGGGTAATGGTGGCTTCATAGAATGTCTTTGGGAGTGTTCCTTCCTCTTCAGTCTTTTGGAAGAATTTGAAAAGGATCAGTATAAGTTCTTCTTTGTATGTTTTGTAGAATTTGCCTGTGAAGCCATCTGGCCCTAGACTTCTGTTTGTAGGGAGTTGGGATTTTTGTTTGTTTGTTTTATTACAGATTCTATTTCACTTCTAGTGATTGGTCTGTTCAAATTATCTGTTTCTTCTTGATTCCGTTTTTTTGGGCTGTATGTTTCTAGAAAATGGTCCATTTCTTCTGGGTTGTCAAATTTGTTGGCATATAATTGTTCATAGTATACTCTTATGGTTTTTTGTATTTCTGAGTGATGAGTTGTGATGTCTCCTCTTTCATTTCTTATTTTGTTTGAGTCTTCTGTCTTTTCTTCTTGGTGAGCCTGGCCGGAGGTTTGTCAATTTTCTTTACCTTTTCAAAGAACCAGCTCTTGGTTTTATTGATTTTTTTTCTATTGTTTTTTAAATCTCTGTTTTATTTATTTCCTCTCTGATCTTTAGTAAATCCTTCCTTCTGCTGACTTTAGGTTTTGTTTGTTCTTTTTCTGATTTTTTTAGGCTGTGGGTTAGGTTATTTGAGATTTTTCTTGTTTCTT